AAATACAGGAGGCTTGTACTTCTTGAACCTCTCAAGCCTCAGCTGCTCATCCTCGGAAGCCGCTGCCCTGTCCTCAGGATGAACTGGCACTGTAGGCGGTACAAGAATAATCTCAGGGACCTGCTTAACATGTACTCGTTGCTCAGGAGTGCGGGCAGCGGGAGTCTGTGCTCCTCCCCCGACCTGGGATGTGGCTGCAGCAAGGGAAAGCAACCCTGCCTGAGCCAAAGTGGTGTACATGCTCATAAACTATGCCAGTGTCTCCTGAAGAGCTGGAGTAGTAGTAGCAGTGGGCATGTCAAGTGCTTGGACTCCGACTAGATCCACTGGTGGTACCTCAGCGGCAGCTCGCGCAGGTGCTCTGGCTGTACCACATACACGTCCTCGGCCTTTACCCCGACCCCGGCCTCTAAAGGTTGCAGTAAGGGGCGCGGGTGCCTGATCATCTCGAGTAGCACATGTGCTCACCATCTCTGAGAGAATAGAAGACAGAAGTTTAGAATTGTGATGTCAAAATATCGCATGACAAGGAAATCAAATGAAGTGGAAGTTTTCCTAACAGTTACATAGCCTCTCGTAGATAAGTACAGACATCTCCGTACCGATCAGCGAGACTCTAATAAACCGGCTTGTGATCCGTGACTCTTATGAACCTAGAGCTCTGATACCAACTTTTCACGACCCCAGTTCGCCCTCCGTGAACTGTTCTGACGCCACCTAGTCTCTACGACTAGGTAAGCCTAACAAATGAGGAAAATGAACTAACTTGCGGAGTAAATAATCCAAAGCTGAAAACAACTGAAGAAAACAATATTTAAATGCCGCTCGGCATATATACATAACTTCTCGAAATTTGATACACTATCCCAAAACCCGAAAACACACGGATCCACAAGCTGAGAAAAACACTACATAGCTCTAATCTCCGGAATGTCTAATAAAACAGAAGTACAGAAAGGCTAAATACTAAAATGCAGGAATAGAAAGAGACTCCTCAGCCTACGGACGCGGCATATATACCTCGAAGTCCCGTAGAATCGCCTCGCCTCAAGAATGGTAAGCCTGAGTAGAGGTACCTAGATCTGCACGTGAAAAACATGCGCAGAAAGGGCATGAGTACACCACAGCGGTACTCAGTAAGTGCCAAGCCTAACCTCGGTCGGGTAGTGACGAGGAGGGTCAGGGCCCTACTGAGGTTAATAAATAATAAAATGACTGGATAAAATAAGCAGTAAAATTGAGAATCTATATTAAGAATCTACAGTTTAATAAAAGTACAATAACGAAAACAGAGATAAAGGCAAACTACAAGGAAATACCACTCACAACAAGGATAATAACCGGGGATCTCTTAGTATCCCTAGGATCTCTTCCTCAATATATGCTAGGGATCACTTGGTATCCCGAGGATCTCTTGGTATCCACAATATATGACAGGGATCTCTTGGTATCCCGAGGATCTCTCGGTATCCTCAATATATGTCAGGGATCTCTTAATATCCCGAAGATCTCTCGGTATTCTCAATATACATGCCAGGGATCTCTTGGTATCCCGCACCTCAGTCCAGAACATAAATACATATAGAGGATCTCCCGGGATGTCGTTCCGTAGTCCCAAATTAAAACACACAGCAACAACACACGAATACTAAATTAAATGCTAATTTCATACAAAGTAAACAGTCAATTCTAGCCTAACATGCTTCACATAATGGACTTAAGGCAATTTAAGCAAATAGGCAATTAAGTCAACTAAACATGCTTTTCTAAACTAACAACAGACTAAATTCGCAAGTAGAATAAAGCAGGAAAAAGGAACTCAGTTGAAATACTTAAAGTAAAATCGGATTTTCAACAATTAGCTCAAGTACGCACTCGTCACCTCACGTACAAGGCATTTCAATTATCATGTATATCATATCCTAAGGGGGAGGTCCCCCACACAAGGTTAGACAAGCCACTTACCTCGAACCAGCTCAAAATCAGCCCGACACCACGTCTTTGCCACGAGTACTCGACTCCAATTGGCAAATCTATTCAATTCAATTGCATGATGTAAATAACACTTCAAGTAGTGATTTTACAATTAAAGTCTAAGCTAATACGCGAAAATATGCAAAATGACCAAAACGCCCCTCGGGCTCACATCTCGTAATCGGGTGAAATTTATATTTTCAAAAACCTTGTACTCTCATGAGTCTATTCATAACAAGAACACTAAAATCGGAGTCCAAATGACTACTCAAATCCTCATTTAAAGGACTCTTAAACTCAAGCCCTAGTTACCCATTTTTCCCAAATTTCTCACCACTAATTAGGTCTTTAATCACATAAAAATGAGTTATGAAGTCAAGAACGTCACCTCCAAGTGATTCCCCTTTGTTTTCCTCAAAAATCTCTCTCAAAAGCTTCAAACCCGGATGAAAATGGTGAAAGAATGTCTCAAAATTGCAAAGGCAACTATTTATATGTTCTGCCCAGCGATTCCCGCATTTGCGGCCCTGGGACCGCATCTGCGGTCCCGCTTCTGCGGAAACTACGTCGCATATGCGACTTTCATTTAAATGCCAGATTCTGCATCTGCGTAACTCTAACCGCAAGAGCGGTTGCGCTTCTGCGAAGATTTCACTGCATCTACGGTTCCTGAGGAATTCCCAATTTCCACTTCTGCGGTCTCTACGCCGCTTCTGCGGTCCCCAAACCGCAGATGCGAAAATACCAGAAGCAGCAAAAAAAATACAGCAGCTGCAATATGTTCCTCAATTTCTCGTTAACCATCCGAAATCACCCCGAGGCCCCCGGGACCTCAACCAAAAGCACAAACATCACCTAATACCTTATTCAAACTTGTACCAATCCTTAAAACACCTAAAACAACATCGAAACCTCGAATTAACCAAGGATTTAAGCCTAAGAAATCCAAATTTCCTCAAAATACGCTTTCGATCAAAAAGTTTATCACAACGCGTCCGAATGACCTGAAATTTTGCACACATGTCACATTCAACACTACGGAGCTACTCTAACCTCCTTAATTACATTCCGACCCTCGGATCAAAATATCACTATCCGACCGGAAACTTCAAAAATTCAACTTTCGGCATTTCAAGCCTAAATTAGCTACATACCTCCAAAACACCATCCGAACATGCTTCTAATCCCGAAATCACCTAACGGAGCTAACGGAACCATCGAATTTCCATTCTGAGGCTGTCTTCACACTGTTCCGACTACGGTCAACTTTCCAACACTTAAGCTCTCATTTAGAGACTAAGTATCCCAAAACTCTCCGAAACTCAAAACCAAATATCCTGGCAAATCGAAATAGCAGAAATAAACTTGGGGAAAGCAGTTAATAGGGGATCGGGGTGTTAATTTTTAAGACAACCGGCCGGATCGTCACATATAAATAGACCTAAAAATGCCACTTTTATGAGAGATCGATATTGGACAGATTTGAGAGGGGATTTGACCTAAGGAGGCAAGAACACACTAGGAGCAAGACGGAGAATTCTTCTACGAGTTTTTCACTTCCTTCTTCCTATTTTCATTATTGGTTATGAATTCTAGTATTGTAGTTATGCATACTATTATGAATAGCTAATTTATTATCTATGGTTTTGATGGAACTTATTGGAGGACGATTTTCCTGTTACGTTAATATAGATTTGTTGTAGTATTTTCTCTATTTGTTCAACTACGGTATTATTGTAGTTGGTTGAAGAGCTCTCAATCGACTGTACCTATTTAGTATGTATTACTCGGGAGAGAGTGCATATTTAGGTAGTTGTTAAACAACATCACTCCCAACGTATATGAGGGATCAATACGAAGGGTTTAAAGGTGAGATTAGGGATAACGAATCCTTGGTGCGATCCGAGTGAGCCGTACTTAATGCCAGCTAGCGTACTTCGAGAGAATTATCTAGTAAATTGTGGTAATTACTCGGAAGAGAGTTACGTCAGTCAGAGTGCTCATGATCAGTAAAGAAGACTTAGGTAAATTTATAGAAAACCTAGCGGAAAGGATTCCGACAATAGGGGATATCATAACTCAAGACCTCTTTAATCTTGTCTCCAATCTTTATCCTTGTTAATTGATAGTTTTACTGCTTTCTAGTATTTGTTAGTTAATTAGATAAAAACATATTATAATCTTTATAATTAGGAAATTGTTTGGACTTGTGTTTCTTAGCGATATTGAATAACTGTAGCTAAGTCTTAGTTCTCTGTGAGATTCGACCCCGGACTTGTAAACCAGATTATATTTGCAACGACTGTTTAGTCCTTTTTATAAGGCATAGTTGGGCATGATCAATTTATTTACTCTTCCGAATAATCTCAACCAAATCCGGAAAAAAAATTTGGAACCTTCTATTAATGACAATTATATTAATTGTAGTACTCCCTACATTTACTGTTAGTTGTCATGAATACTAAACATAGTTGTTCCCAAATACTTACATTTTAGAAAATGTAAGTATTAATTAATTATTTTTCAGCTTTACCCTAAGCATTAATTATTCTAGAGCACGTAAATAGACACAGATTAAAGAATTATTAAGGGTTAAATTAGTCAAAGTACTCTTCTTATTCAAGCTTTAAATAAACGTGTAGAACCTTATCCCGCCAATTATGAGAATGGAGTGAACATATATTTTTAATCTTGGAGCCTTTGATTTTTGGGAAAGCAAAGACTTGAATGGTAGAGTCACCATTACTAGTTTGACTACATATTGAAAGTTCCAATTTGGACATAATTAAGATTCTCAATTAGCTACCACTTAAAATTTGGTTTTCCTTCTTTTTTTTTTTTTAATTAAAAAAAAGATCTCTTTACACTAGTTTGACACATAGCTGCAGCCTGCAGCTGTTACTAAACATGTTCAGATATGTTGGAATTTAATATACACAAATAGTGTGTTATGCCCCAGGGTGCTCTATATATGAGTGCTACCATATTCTTGACGAATATTTATTCAATCAGTGTTTTCTTTGAAATATGGCTGCCGTTCCCCTTCCCCCTCTCTTTTGTTGCTCAAGCAAACTGCGTATGCCTAAAGTACAGAACTATCGTATAATCATGTCTCGCAGCTTCCATAGTGAAGGTAATTCCTTCATTTTATTTTTGTTTACATTTACATCAAATATAAATCAGCTTCTAATACTTTGTTTAAAGGAGTTCCACGAGGAAGTCCAAGATTTTACTTAATTGATCCATCCCCTTCCAGTTTATATAACATTGTTTCCTTGTTAACCAGTTAAAAAAATAACATATTTTTATTTTTAAAAATAATTCAAATTTAAATTTCTCATTTTACTCTCAACGAACAACTTTTATATCATATACTCCCTCAGTTTCAATTTAGATGAGGTAGTTTGACTCGACACAGAGTTTAAGAAGAATAAAAAAAAACATTTGAAATTTGTGGTTTTCTTAAAAGCTTAAAGGGTAAAAGCTTTGTGAGGTCATGACATTTGTGCGGTTATTAAAGCTTTCTCATTACGGGTAAATTGAATAAAAGGAAGAGTTTAAAGTTGAATTATTTTCGAATTTAGAAATGTGTCATTTATTTTAGAACAAACTAAAATGAAATGTAGCTCATCTAGTTTGAAACGGAAAGAGTAAATGTTATGACATATTTAAGACCATAAGTTTAGAAACATGGGAAAGAGGGGTATAATTTGGTCCTTGTCTTCTAAACTATTGCAGGGAACTCCGCCAATATTAATGTTGATTCACATTTAAATACTCTACGGCAGAGAATAGAGCAACTAAGGAAGAAGGAGAAGTTGAACACAGTTTATAACAGACATGAAAATATTGGTTGGAATTATATATCAGATTACAACGACAAACACAAGAAATATTGCTTGATATTGCAGTTGGCTGAGCTCGCAGGTTTAGCAGGCAGCAACATAGGATTTGTTGTCCTAAGTGGTTCTTTCTGTATCTTTCTTGTTTCCCTTATTGCCCACATGCATGGCTAATATACATGAGAAAAATTGTAAATTGGAATCAGAGAAGTGTTAGTATATATTGATGTTTCTTCTGATTATCCTATTCACGTCTTCTGATCACCCTGAAAGAAAATATGGGAGTAATGAAGTCATTTTATATTCTTAAAACACTTATAATTTTGAACCTTTGGCCTCTTTGACATTCATATGCGAATCTAAGATTTAAACTTTATGAATTCAGATTTCAAATTTTACCCTGCATCCAATTTACTGGGTTCAAATTATATCTTTTGCACTTTTTAATTAAATTTTTAATACATAGTCTAAGCCAAAATTATTGGATTCATATTTGTCATTCTCTTGATTCACTTGGATTAAAATTCCATAACAAAATTAAAAATCAAATAAGATAGCTTTCAGAATCTGTTTATTTTGACAAGTGATTTTTGTTAGAAGTACTTTTGGAGAGTAGCATTTTGTGTTTGGCTAATCAATTCAATTATAATGGTAATTTGTGCTTGGCCAAAATTTCTAAAGTGCTTTTGGATGGAAATTATACTTTTTTAGCTTCTGAAAAATACTTTATGCAAAAACACTTCTTTGTTTTAAAAAAAAAAAAACATTGGTCAAAGAAGCGCATATTTAAATATAAAAAGAAGGCTGTTAGCTTCCTGAAGCTTTAGCCAACATGCTAGAAATAGGTTGAAAGGATAGCCTCAGTTATATTAATGGTGTTGTTATGCATAACATGATTGATAGTGCCATATGGAAAAGGACAAAAGTTGGTATGAGGTTAGCTTTTTAGGGTTAGAGATCATATATTATAAAATTTCTAAATTAAGGAAAACGTAAGATCAGAATAGACCAACTCTAACTGTTGGTCGTCATTTACTTGGACAAAGACGTTCCATATTTGGAACATTGGTACGTGACTAAGTAGAACAGGGAGAGATATTTGTAATTAAGTGGCACATTTGGCTTATAGAGATGTGAGCCAATAAAATTGGGACACAAGCTATACTATTTGGACACATGAACTAGCCATATTGTAGTAGATTGTTCCACAAATTTCCCTTTAATTAACTAGTAATACTAGTTTGTCCTCATTTAAAGATCTATTCTATGGTCAATCATGTTGCGAGGGTTTATACTTCAATTTGTGCATGGCGATTCATCCATTTTTTTAAGATAAGATGAATGAGAAAGTGAAAAGGGAGAAATAAGAAGGGATAAGTGCAAAAACAAGAAGATAATACGATATTAGCAACCATATAAATAGGAAAAATTATACGTACATGTAGAGTCGGATCCAGGATTTAAATCTTATGGATTCAATTTTAATATTTTTAACATTGAACCCATTATATTTTTAAAGTTATGGGTTTATATCCACTATTTTTATAATTTTAATGAATTTTTACAAATAAATTTTTACTCCGCGTTAAAAGTTATGGATTCAGTTGAACCCGCAGGTAGTACATTGCATCCGCCCCTGCGTACATGCTCACTAGATACATACTAGGTGACATGTTGCTCCAGATCCGATAACTTGCTCAGTGTTTTCCCTGGGCTTTCTTCAATTATTCTTTCATGGGGCTTGGACTATCTTTTAGGGACTATAAGATCTACAGTAATAAGAAAAATAAAATATGCATAATTTTTAAAATTTAGTAGTATTTATTTTATATATATATATATATATATATATATATATATATTATAAACTTGGATAGTAAACACTACAAAAAAAGTGCTAATTACATGAGAATTTTACCTGGGGATTTTATTCGTAGATAATACCTACGGGTTTTCATGGAAAATATGAAAATTCCTAAATGTAAAATATTTTACTTGCGAAAAACAGTTTCCTAAGATAATCCGTAGGAAACTTTGGCGCCATTATGCGTCAAAATATTACCTGGGAAAACTAATCGGCAAGTACAATTTCGTAAGAAAATTCGCAGGTAAACAGATAATGAAAATAAAAAAAAAATCCTAATATGTAGGAAAATCCCAAAGTAACTCTACATGTGAATTCAGTTGCGAATATTTTCTTGGGGATTTACTTAGGATTTGCTTATTTAGGGAATTACCTCAGACTATTGTTGCTGTGCATTTAGCTAAGAATTTTTTTGGGGATTTACTTGGTGGTTCTTTTAGTTGTAGAATTACTTGGGGATGTTGTTGCTCCGTATTTAGTTAGGGATAGATTTTTTGAGAATTTACCTGGGAATTTTCTTACTTGAATTTTTTTTTGAGAAATTAGAAACGAAAATAAGAATGATAGATTTAATTCATTATAAGGCATTAATCTTTTTTTTTTTCATTGAAATATATTTATAAAGGTACAATACAAAAACTAGACAGCAGTACTGCTTTAGGCACAATATAGTATCATTTGTTTTACTATCATGCATTTCTTGAAAAACAGAGAACTCTAACCCCCACCCAAAATAAATAAATAAATAAATACTGTAAAAGATAGAGGATATATTCTTATCAGAATGATGCTGCGATTAACAATTTGCCACTTGTCATACCTATTTACATAACATGATTTGGTGAGATCTCTTAGCACTTGCTGGGTAACAGAGAGTGGTGATGAATTGCCAAACTATAAATATCTTTAATCACCAACTAATAATCAGACATATTTAAAAATTAATAATCAGACATTACAAATCTTTTACTAATTGGCTGGGTCTGTCGCCTCTGAACATGCACTTTTTTGGCTTGCATGGCACATTTAACAGATCATATAGAAAACTTGTACAGATGTCAACTTCTTATGAAAAGATGCAATTAATAATCTCTTTTCTTTCCGTACGTCTTTGTTTTGGTGATAGTTTTTAACCTTTTAGGTGATCTGTTCCATACAAGGTGTATGGACTAATAATTTAATGTAAACGTTTGAACTTTTTGAAAATGATAAGTTAAACATATATAAGAGTGATAGGCAAAAATAAGGTGGTAACTTTTTTGGATGTAGAAATTATACTAATATCTACATTCATAATATTATAAATCCAAACTATACCTCGATACTACGTCAAACATTTGGTCCCAATCATGTCTTGAAACTGGTAAATTAAAGAGATAATTAATCTACAAACCCTTTTACAGGAAATCCATTTAGAGACTTCTAAAATATCAACTAAGGCTATATTTGGAGTGACACGAAATATTATCGGATTACCAAACTGTTGACATCGGAATTTGGGATAAATATCAACTAAGGCTATATTTGGAGTGACACTAAATATTATCGGATTACCAAACTGTTGACATCGGAATTTGGGATAAATAGTATTACTATGGTGGTGGAGCCGGTATTTTTGATAAGAGGATTCGAAATACTAAGAACAGTACAAGAAAAATGGCCTTTAAGGAAAGGAATTTTGGTCCCTAAAAGTTGAAATCTGGTCCTAAAAAGGTAAATTACGAAGGGAAAAGGCTAGTCGTAACCCGTCGTAATAGCCTCCGACTCTAAATGTCAATAACGACGGGTCTTAATACCTGGTTGTTAAATCACTTTAGAGACGGACTAAATCACTTTAGAGACGGACAAAAAATTTGGCCGTGAAATACTTTTAAAGACTACATTTCTCGTCCCTAATAGACGTTGAAAGAAATATATATTCCCGTCGTGAAATCTTTGTAGCGACCAAGTGTAACTGGTCCTAAATTATCTTTTAGAGACGGACAAAAAACCTGGTCGTGAATAACTTTTAGAGATTACGTTTCTCGTCCCTAATAGACGATGAAAAATATATATATTCCCATCGTTAAATCATTTTAGCGACCAACTGTAACTTGTCCTAAATTATTTTTTAGAGACGAACAAAAATCTGGTCGTCATTCCCATCGTTACCATTTTCGCGACGAACCTTTAACTGGTACTCGATTATTTTTAGGGACGACGTCCCTATTTAAAATAATTTTGTAATTTAGCGATCGTATTCATGATCTCTTAATAACCATGAGTAGTCCTAAAAGCTCAATGCCACAAAAAATAATTTTTATCAATAAATATCAAATTGTCATTGAAAAATCTAGATATAAAAAGACAAGATATCAAGTTCAAATCTCATGAAGATGTTACTTTCTCTGTTTTCTCAACACCTCAACTAAAAAACTTAGCTATCATCTTGAGCTAGACTATGATATCAAATTTTGCATAACATTTTTAGCAAAATAATAATGAGTTTATGCATCTTCTAAACTTGCATCTTGACTTGTAGCTTCAATCTTCAAAACCTGTAAGTACAAAATATTGAAAAAATAATAAATAACTATTGGTAAAATAACATATATAATTTTAAATGAGCAATAGTTAAATCGCTTACCCCAAAAGTATTCTAAATTCACTAGGTGTTATCCAGCAACATCAACAAGGCTACAAGAATATAAGAAAAATTAATTAGAAAAGCTTTGGAATGGTTAATCTTACTTTGGTTCGATAAATCCCGGTATGACAATTCGAGATTTACCATTCAAGATTCCAACCATTATGAACAGACAACAACATCACTAGGCTAATTTCTAGCTTGACAGAAGAAACCTATGATGTAGGGGCGATCAAGGACTTTATTGTTGAGATTGAGATAGACAACTATAACCTAAAGATAGATATATCAGCAATGCATCACTAGCTAGCTTACATACACAAATAAACCTTACCAGAGATTTAGAAGGCAAACTGTGTAATTAATATATCGACTATAATATCCTCAGACAGCTCAACGACACTTTTGTAAGACAATTTGCATGATGTTTCATACTAAGTAATCTCATACCCCTGAAACTACAACAAGAAGCATGCACTTTCAATGTTGTTGTGATGACCCAAGGTCATCACTCGTTTTGAAAGTAAATTTTGTGTTCTGAGGCCTTAAAAATCTTTTTGTCTTACCACGATTTGCGTGCGCAGTCGGGGCACGTTTTCGGAAAGCTTTTATGTGAAATCTAAGAAAAAAATAGGAAAATGACCTTTAAAATTGATTAAAGTTGACTTTGGTCAACATTCTTGGTAAACGAACTCGGACCCGTGATTCGA